GGGGGGGGGGGGGGAACAGTTGCGTGTAGTTCGATTGGGAGCAAATTGCCATTCATCTGTTAACAAAACTGTGCACGGTTGTTCCTCTCTTTTGAGGGTTGTTTAGAAATCAGCTTTTGAGGATTTCTTAGATTTACACTTTGGCATATTTGTGTATCACTTTTACTGAAGAAATTCTGGTCATTTTTATGCGTTTTGTGCTGCGTGACAGCGTTACTTAACGCATATTGTCAAGAGGTTGTCTGTGAGTGTGTGTGTGTGTCCGCAGCAACTTGTCCGCAACTTCCAACTCGGGAACCACAAAAGCTGGGAAGCTGAAAATTTAGGGAAAAAAAAAATTTTCCCTACCCACGTGTGACCCCGCAAATTTAAATTCGTCCTCCCCGCACCCGCGGGTAACACGTTCGGCCCTGTGAAAGTTTGAGCGAGTAAAATTATTATCACGGGAACCACGGAAGCTAGAATGCTGAAATTTTGTGGGTCTGTCCTCTGCCCACACACGACCCAGAAAATTTAATTTCAGCTTTCTCCTGCCCGCGGTTAACACGAGCGGCCCCATGAAAGTTTTCGCGGGTAAATTATTGTCTAGGGAACCACTGAATATACGAAGCTGTAATTTTAGTATAATAACCCCCTGCCCACGCTCAGCCTTGCTCATTCAAATTCAGCTTCCCGCGCGTTCGAGTACCACTTACGGCCGGGGCGGGGCAGTGAAAATCATTAGCAGGCAATTTTCCGGTGAACGGAATTGCAAAAAACGCATGATCGCACCGGCTGCCCTGGTGCGCGCCGCTATTTATCATAAGTTGAATTTCAGTCACAGTCAATTAGCACGTCATGGGGTTTCTTTTTACGTGATTGCTTTTCGCTGATGGATCGAACATATGTGATGACACTGATAAAACAGTTCAACCGTGACATTGCTGCAAAAATTGCGTAAGAATATTTCTGTCTTTTAAAAAATATTTGGGTTGTTTTTTCAGTCATTAGATAGTAAAGCATAAGTTTGATTGTATCTTAGTTATGGCAGCGACTTTGTACTAACTGATCGGTTACAGTAAAGTGTTTCATAAAATTATCCTAGTAAAATGCTTCTTTTAAAATTAACAAAAGTATTACTTGAAGCAGTTGGGTCCTCCCGATCAACATTTTTACATATAAAGAACTTTAACTGCAAAAAGACCAACTCGTTATGATTACTGTTTGAGAAAGGATCTATCCATCACTGCTAATAATGCAAATCTGTAGATTTTTTAAAATTTGTTGATACTAGAATTCCGTATGTTTTTTAGGAATTCTGTGGAGCCCTCTACAACAACTTTGATGCTAATAAAATTAGATTTTTTACGTATAATTGCATCACATGAGCATTTCATCGTACTGAATCTGCCGTACGGTTCGAGTGCAGCGCCGCAAGGCATGTCAACCAGTCATTCTGGTGCTTCATTTCATGTAAGTTTTTGGTTAAACGTACTACATTGTTCTTTCAGTTAATCTTTTCGTGAATCTTCGAAAATTCTGGACCGGGAGGGGATCGAACCACTCCTGTTCACGCTCGGACTCAACGTTTTGCCACCACACCACTGGTCCTTCTGCTCGAAATCCATTCTGGCAGCACATCTACTGTGTATCTGCCTTTCAAAACCAAATGCACCTTTCTTTTCTTGTTCTTTATAGCGGTTTTCTGAGCGACTTTTTGGCGGGTTTCCGCTACAGACCTTTTTACCTCATCCACCTCCATTATCACTTTCAACCGTTGCAAATGGCAAGGTTTTTTTTCAAGAATACTGAATTTTGAATGCATGGACACTGGGAAACGACCATTTAGCGGTGACTGATAACCATGATTTTTTTTTAAATAAAAGTAACTTCTAGTAGATTTCGTTTCCACCGATGGGAGAGCGAATCCCTCTACGGTTCGTTCATTCGTTTCGATAATAAATTGGTATTGGCGCATGTCAGGGGGCCAATCTCATTATCGGTTTACTTGGAATCCGTCATCGAAAGAAGGGGTCATCGACAAGCTTGCCAGTGGACGATTACTGTCGGCTCTTTCAGACTATTTCGCGAGTGCTTCAGTCTTTTATAGGGAGCATGGATTTGACTTTCTTGTAACAAAATGCCTTCATTTCGCCTTTCAACAGTTGCGAAGTTACCTGCCCCTACCAGATGGGTGATCCATCCACTGACAAAATTTTCTAGGGCCTTCTCTTGCAGAAGTTATAGTTTTCTCATCGGCAGCCTTATCAGCGAGTGATTTATGCTGGTGCATCCTTAGTCCAAGTTACTTCCGAGTTTCTTCGCCTAACAAAACGGATGGATCATGAAAGAGGAGGAGATCCCATGATGATGCTAATATTTTGGAAATACTTCTTTTTTTGAAGAAATATATAATAAAAGAGCGTAAAATTTAGAGTTTTCTTCATAGTCCCCATGGGAATGTAAATGTGTTATTTCAGTCTGGAACGTCGGGGCTTTCTTCGGGATCAGAGAGTAGCGCAGGCTTATCCTTATCGTTTCATCATTCTTCGCAAGTTCAGCCTTCAAGCCCAGGAAATTCGAGCGCCAGCAGCAGGTATTTCGTACAGATTCTTGTATTTTCATGATATTTTAAAATATGTAGCCTGTAAATACAGCATTCCTGAAATCCATAATTGCACCATCAAATTGGAATTCCTTACAAGCCATTACTTGAAGCTCTAACGAAAAAAACTTAGATATACTCTTTTTTCCGGCACATCACCAAGTCTTTCAGATCTTCCAGTCAAGCGAACGATTCGCATGGTACAGTTGGATCAGCGGAATTAACAGTTGATTTTCGATCACGACATTTCCTGATTGGGCTTGCTCTGGCTGATCTTGCTTCCGTTCTGGATACTTCCAGTACTTTGCTTCATTCACAGTATGTTTTTATTTGTTTTTGAAACTAAGCGATTTCTTCTGGCCAAACAGATACATTACTTCTTTTTTAGATGATAGATTACTTTGCTAGATAAATGCTTGAAATGCTTGGAATCAGCTGTAGT